AGAGAGAGAGAGAGAGAGAGAGAGAGAGAGAGAGAGAGAGAGAGAGAAGCCAGGGAGTGGACTTTTATTGAAGAACAAAACTTCTGGGAAAATCCCATCCAATGAAGATTAAGGGGGGGCAGTGTCCCAAGGTCAGGTGAGACAATTGAGTCTTCAGGGGCTGTGGTCAGGCACACCTCCACATGGACAAGCCCTTGGACCTGAGAAGGGTGGGGAAAGCTCTGAACACAAAAATGTGTCTAAGCATCTCTCATCTAGCTGGGGAGGTGACTCGAATCGCATGCAAGAATGGCATCCCACATCCCACCTTATTCCATGTTAGAATGGCTCCAAAAGAAGCTAAACTTCTGTGTTCAAAAGATTGATTTTTGTTGTAAAGATTACTGTGATCTCAAACAGGGGATAGAATGTATAACTATGTAAAGATTCAAGATTATAAAAGTCATTTTTCTTGGTTCATAGCTATTACACAAACTGAATATGTTTTTGCTCAGTTAATTTCATTTTTTAATTTTCCTTGAAAACTTTAGTGTTGCCTGTTTGTGTTTTGCAGAGGTACTGCTTCTAAAAGAAAAAGGAAAAAAAAATCTTGGGTTAATTTGGGAGAATAAGCCATCACCTAGAGGATAAATAGTATAAAATGCTGACTAGCAGTACTAATATTAACCCAATTAAGTGAAAGGGGTAACAGTAAACTTACAGATATTAATGCTATAACCTGTTACTCCCTCTTTAAGACTGGTGCAATTGGCTTGATGGGTGTTTAAAACCAAAAATTTGGAGACCAAATTCAAGGAAGTAAAAGGGCAAAGGAAAAAGCAGCCAATATTTGGCCCTTGGCCTCTAACGTCAGCCAGCACACAGGGAATCATGGGACCCTCTAAGGGCTCTGAAACCCTGGTGAGTCACCTGATCTGCCATAAGGGAGATGGAGAGGACCCTAGAGAACAGAAAGCCAACTGGTGGTGCATATTCTGCAAAGAGGAGGGTCACTGGAGAGTGAAATGCATGAAGCTTCCAAGAGAAGCCACATGTGTGGTCATCAAGACCCTGACCTGACCCAGCTTGGCCCATGGCACCACTGATAGAGAAAATCTAAAGGAGCCAGGAGGCTTCACCCATGTCCCCAAGAGTGATTGCTGATCTCAGCTGACGCTTAAGAATAGATGGGACAAGGTCAGTTTTGACCAAGTTAGTCTCGAACACCTGGCAGGAGAGTCTAGCCTGAGCACAGTCCTACAGGGACGTTTACAAAAATAATAAATAAATATTTAATAAAACTTAAGATGTACACTGCGTCAACCCTACCAAAATTAAGGAAAGCTGGAGGCTGTAAAGGAAAGGTACTTAGGAAAGTGCCTAATATTTAACCATCACGGAGTACTTCAGAGACACAGGCTGTCCTGCATTCCAGAGACTGGCTGAAATACCGATTGTTTTCATTCTACTTGTTTGCCAAAAAATGTAAAGCTTTCTGTCATGTTTATTGTTGTCCTGGCATAAACCTTGCCTATGGATACCTTGTCTAGTCACCTGCCAGCTGCCACCATGGACCTCTGGACTGCTGTGGTGTTGAACACCCTTAACTGTCCATGCCCCACCTCACAGAAAACAAGGACTTTGGTCACTTTCCCCCAACTTGGCCCTCCCTCAGCTCGAAGTAGCTTGAACGTGTAGAAGTAGCCCACTTTTCCATAGAAAAGGAAGGTAGAAATTGACAGTGGGGAAATATAACAGTGGTCCCTTCACCTTCTGGATGTAGCCCTCATTGCTCTCTCTCTTCTCCCCTCCCCCTCCCTAACAAGATTGGGGAGACAGTGTCATCTTTTCTTCCCCAGTTAACTGCCCTGAACATACACACTACAGGAAGAGGAGGCCTGCTGAGGATCTGGGAATGAGGATCTCCCAAATTAACAAGTGAATCCTAACAGTTTCAGTCCTGGCTGTCCTTGTCCCTCCTGTTCATTCTCAACTCCAGTGGATGAACTGACCCTGACCCTTCCCAGATTGTGTGTGTGTGTGTTTGTGTGTGTGTGTGTGTGTGTGTGTGTGTGTGTGTATCAGGGGAGGGGGCTGTTCCTTTCATTTTAGAGACAAAGATCCCTGGTAGCCTCACTTCCTGCCCAGGGCCTTGCCCAACTCTTTCTGCTTGACAGTCCCCTTCCTCAGGCCTCTGGGACCCCCTTTCTACCCTCCTTTGGGCTACTCTAATCCTGCTCCCTGGGAAGCAGGAGGGAGCAGCTGCAGGAGGGAGC